CTGTTAAAAACGTTCCTAAATGTCACCTTGCAGCACACACCCTGTAAGTCAAACCCAGAGGTGTGTAGTTCCCTCTCTGGTTCCCAATCTGGGCTCTTCAGCCCTGACCCAGCTGCTCTGTGGCGACATGAAACTCCTCTTTACTCTCCTCTGGCCTCTCCTTCTGTGCATTCCTAGCTCTTTCCCCCTTCCCCAGAAGTCCACCATCTCCACTCCTGCCTTCCTCCTTCCCTCTGCACAGCTCCCTGATAGCTGCTCCAGATCTTCCAACTACCAGTATTCCTCCTGACCATCCAACCTGAGCTGTCTTTTGCGACCTGCCAAGGACACAAGGAGCAATGCAGGCACCAGCATTTCACAGAATCATAGAATGTTTTGAGTTGAAAGCAACCTTTACATCTCATTTAGTCCAACCTCCTCGCAATGAGCAAGGACATCATCATCTACATCAGGTTGCTCAGAGCCCCACCCAACCTAACTTTGAATGTTTCTAGCGATGGGGCATCCACAGTGTGTCTTGGCAACCTGTTTCAGTGTCTCACCACCCTCATTGTAAAAATTTTTTTCCTTATATCTAGTCTGAGAAGAGGAGTGGAGCAAGTCCATGTTCTTGGGAGATTGGTGGGGCAGGGATGTCAGCAGTGGGATGTAGCACAGCTCTCTACTGCAGAAGAGCCCAGGACAACCAGAGCAGCTGAGGCGAAGGTGTTCCATGGTCTTGCTGTGCTTGAGATAGCACAGGACTGCCTCAGAGGACAGCCCACAGGGGGCACAAGGGGCACCCCATGGCGTGGGTACACATCACTGCCTGCCACATGGGTGCCACCTTTTAATATTCCCAAGGGTAGCACGATGATGAGGACAGTCCACAAAAGCATGAAGGTCTTGGGACCGATCAGAGAGACCTCCCTCACTCCATGGCATGGCCCTGAGGAGCACAGTTAAGACACGTTTGCTAATGTTTTTGTCAGAGGTGTTGTCAAGAGCTGTTTGGCACTTGGGAAGGAAACAGTCTTTGAATCTTCTCTTAACACCCTCAGGGTCCTGTCTGTAGTTTGTATTTTTTTTATATGCTTTTCCAGTGACAAGCACAGTAGCTGTTGTAAAATCTGATGAGTCATAGCTGCAGGCTCCAAGGGAAAGACAAGGTAAAAGGAGAGCAGGGACAGACAAGACGGAAAGTTGCTGTCACTAACCAGCTTCCAAGTCATTGCTATGTAGCTACCACTGGCTTCTCTGCAGCATCACATACATAATCTTAGCTTTCCCTGACTGAATCCATGGCTCGAGGAAGAACTTGAGAACAGCCACACTATGTTACACATACCTGCCTAAGAGCAGCATAAGAGTCACTGTGCCCTTCTGACCAGAAAGTGCAGTCAGAACTGCCAACTGTAACGGTGGGACGTTGGGAAGAGTTTGTCAGGCAGTTAATCTAGAAGAAAAGCAGAACTTTGAGAAGGTCAAGACCAACATGTTTTGATAAAGATATGCTGAAACTGCCTTTACTGTTGTCTTTCACGAAAACTGGCAGCAATCACCAACCCTGGCTGCTCTGCTTTGCTGTATGTCCCATCTCCAGTGGCACCACAAACACACTGGGAAAAATCTTCTTGTGACAAATGTTTCAAACATAAACATAGAAGGATAGAAGTCTTTTAGGTCATTAATTTGATTCACACCTAATATACTTTTCATGCAGTAATTTGAATATGAATATGATAGTGTCATAGACAAAGGACACCTGTTCCAATAGTGTCGAGTACTGAATGCCTTACAAGTGGTGGATCTAAGCACCTACTTGGATCCACAACGCTAATGTGGAGCAATACCAAGTATTTCTTAGGCTGCTATTCAGTTGTGTGTGGGAAACAGTTTTCCCACCGTAGGAAACACATTCACAGTGTCATAAGTGTACCTACTCCATGAAAAAGTTGGTGCTATTCATGGCCTTTAGAAAAGAAACCAAGACAGAGGGATCCAGCTCCCAGCACAGCAGCACAAGGACAACTTACTGGTGCCACAAAACAGTTCAACTCAAGTGACTGCTCTGCTTAATGCAGGTGAAAAACTGAATTAAGTTTTTTGCAGTCTATCACATATCAATCTCAAAACTAATCTTGCTTAAACTAGTCTTCTACTTCACCAGAGAGATAATTCTGTGCTGGATTGTGCCTTGCTTCTGGTTCAAGCTGTAACATTTATTTCCTCAGAGAACTTACTTTTCAATTAAGTGGATTTTTTCACCAAAACCAAAAACGAAACGTTGTCACTTAAAAATGTCCAGCCAATTCTACACAAAAATCTGCTCTGAGGCATGCTTATCTCAGTGTTTCTAAGAGAGCTGACAGTTGCTGAAATATAGGCACTAGGATTGCTAGTGTTGACAAGGCTTTAAAGCATCATCACATTGAGTAGCCATTAGAGGTTATATTTCATTGGAAGTAATGTAATTCAATTACCATCACTCTTTAGTATGTCCCATCTCTGGAGGCTGACAACAAGCCGTATCATCGATCAGATTTTAACCTGAACTTTGCATTCTAGCCTCACAGATTGCCAGTTCTCCATTATGAATGGCTTCATATTTTTAGTGTCCTTTCTTAGGGAAAAGAGGTTATCCAATTATACTGCACATCCATCTGCCTGCGTGTCTCTCCTTCCTTGGCTTTTCAACCAGTTTCAATCAGGAGGCAAAGGTCTTCAAGAAAATTAAGTTCCTATCAGTTTTTCAACTAATCAGAGGCATGGTAAAGAAGAGAAATCATTTGCACGTCCCACTTGGGAGTCGTAAACTATGTAATCCCTGCAAACTGACAATCTGGTGAGCATGGACAGCCAATACTGTCTCTTTCTCCATACAAGAAACACAAAAGGCTGAGGAATTTGTGCTATTGCAGGGACAGAAGGTCAGGGAGACCCATGTCTTGTCCTGTGAGACACAAACCCCTAGGAAAGCAGGCTCCTTTAGAACTGCTGTTCATGGAACAACTATTTTATAAATGCAGTGAGCTTAGTAATTTACAAAGAATTTCTTGTGCGTATTTCTTCTGCAAAGAATATTTTGAGTAATTCACTCTGACAGTCAAACATATTGCAAATAGAAAATATAAATTACACAGAAAAGCGAGGTAACATTTGTTTTCCCAAGTCTATGCATTTAAGCTCTATCAATAAGCACATTTTCTTTCTCAGAATATCTGAAATGCAGAGTAACTGATTCACTATGTTTGTAAGTTTAAATGATTACTCTTACTGATGATTATCAACATTACTGATTCATATTACTGTTGTTGTTCTGCCTTTTTGCTGCCTAACTGAACCATAAAAGTACTCATGACTTTGCTAGTTCTTAATCACATTCATCAACTACACAACAATAGTGATTTATGACAACTTATTCCTCAAAGGCAACCTGTTTACATCTGTCATTGCATCCATTCCCTTTCTCACTCCCTCTCCATCCTTCCAAACTTTACCTCCTCTGTATTACTATGTATGCTAAATCCCTTTTCTTTGGCCTTTCCCACTCACTGGCTCTCACCAACTCTATATCTTACCTTCTCCCATGTCCACACATCCTCCATCCCAGTCCTGCCCCTCATTCTACTACCTCTTTTTCTGCCTCCCACATACACTGTCATTATCTGTATTTTCTGGCTTCTTCCCCTAGCCTGCTCTTTGCTCAGAAGATAGTTCCCTTCCCCTCGCTTTACTAGAAAGAGATCGGTGAACCTGAACACCCTTATAAAAACATTTCTGATGGACTTCTCTGGTTTCGCTTCCTTATACTTCTCCATGGATCACATTTATGGAAGCTGGATTTCCCTGTTACTCCTTCTGTTCCACCTGCCCACTCACCACCAAAATCTCATGTTTTTTCCCACTCTCATTGCAGCCCCCCCCTTTTCCCAGTTAGTGCTGCTCCCTGTGACACAGTTATCTTCAGCTACACCCAAAGCCATTCTCTATCACTTTAACTTCTTTTTGAGTGTTTCTCTGCAACATTTACTCTATCAGTCGATAGAGTCACCTTCTCCTCTGCTTCTAATGACCCCCTGTGAATGCACAGCTTCACTATGCTTTAGACATTTGCTTACCCTTCAATACTTCCATCCTCTTCCTCAAAGACAACTGCCCCTCTAGTCCTTCTAAACCTTGGAGGTTGACATTTTGCTGCTAGAAGAGTTTGCCTTCTACCATTTGGGGAGTTACCTGATCCATTTCAGATGCCCCCTGCCCACAATCTACCCAGGGTGTGAACTCCAGTGTACATCAGAAGTCTCAAGTATTCCTAGATAAAGGTCACATCCTACATACATACACACACACACACTCTCCTCTGCTGGAAGACAGCCCATGCTGCTGAGAACAGTCACCCATCAGCTGCAGGTAGGTTGGCAAACTCCCATGTCTGAAATACCAAGTTTTACTCCTCCCTCATACCCATTACTCACTCCTGCTGCCATTCCTTAGGGAGCACCAGCAGAACATTCAGGACAAGACCACCAAGCCTCTTCCCCTTATTCCCATACTTTTTATAACGTTTGTCACACTTCTGTTTCTCATTTTCTCATCTACATATGCCATCCTTTCCCTCACGCTCTACCTTATTTTGTCAATTCCTAGAAAGCTCTCTGCCTACGCACAAAAGGAAGCCACTCTGTCTCAGTTTAAGTTTCTACTAAAAGGACACATTCACAAATCTTACGGTACATCTTTTAGTCTTCAATGACCAGCTCTGGCCATCAGTCTCTATTGCTTGTATCTAAATTGCCATTCATCTGCATTATTACTCTTTCCTAATTTTGTCACCTTTTCCCTCTCCCATATTCATTATGTCACCCACAGGGTCTTGTTTCAAATTAGACTGCAAGATATTTAGAGCAGAAAGAGTGCTCATATAGCATATACACCTAGTGCAACAGGAGCTTGTAGAAGCTAGCATTTCCCCCAGAGAATACAAGAATCATAACTGCCCAAGGCTAGTGGGAACTTACCGAGCCGTACAGTTCCCCTTTCTCATTCATTCCAAGGTAAAGTCCACTGTCGACCCCTCGGATGCTGACCAAGCCCACTGCTATACTGATAAATTCCAGTATACCTATAAAATGCAGGAAAAAAACAAACAATGTATATATTGTTTCCATTGAAAGATTTTTTTTCAGATGTGACTGATCCCTGAGTGTCAAGCAGCTATTTTCAAGGCTGTTTTCCCATTTTCTGTGTTGTTTGGATGAAGATAAGGAACAAACAAATATACAATACTTAAAGTCCTTTGAGTGCCTGTTAGAATGATGAATTACAAACAGCATTAATGTACCAAATGAAAAGATTACTCTTAATCTTTCTCATCATTTCCAAACACAAGCTCAGTTATACTCTGATCTGCACAACAGATAGTACATTCAGAGAAAAAAAAAAGTTTTTAGAGTGCCCGAATTAGCAGAAGTGAGGAACCTATGAAATTTGTCTTGCAAAATAAATTCTGAAAAAATACTATTTAATCAGAACGGTGAGATAAAACAATGTTACACATGGAACTAAAAGATCAACTTCCAGCCATCAATGAACCAGGAATACAGGGAAAGATTTACTCACAGTATGATCTTCCAGAGGCTTGAGAAATTAAAGTTCTTAGTATAGTCCACTTTCATTCATTTCTGTTTAGATAGTAACCATTCTCCCTGATGTTATTATTTATTCATCTCAAATTCAAAAATTAAAATATCCTAAACCTAAGTAATAGTGTATACAGGATTAAGTCTTCCCTTGCATGTAAGAGCAAGCTCACACAGACATTTGTGCACATAGAAATAATATTTTGCCAAGCACTGCTTCTGCAAAGCTCCCAGATTCAGCATCCACGTGCACAGTACAGCAAGTATCTGTATCAAGTATTGGCTCATCTAGTTCTGGGGGCTTGGGGATTTTCTGGCAGCCTTCCCTGCAAATTGCTTACCTCTTCAATGAGGATGCTACCAGCCAAACCTTGCATAAACCTAGAGGTCTTGTGTAAAAAATGGCAATTGCTTTCTAATTGGGAGTGTTCATCTTAGATTGTAATGATCTCACAGGAGTTATCCAGCAGCATTCAGAAGCACGTTGCTGCGTTACTTTCTGAGTCACAAAATAAAGCACAGAGTAGCATTTTCAATATATTTTGTGAATTTTCATGCTTAAGCACACCATATAACTATTTTTAAAGCTCATTGGAAACTACATGTACATGAAATAATAAAATATGAGTATAGTATGTGGCAAATAAAAAAGCACTTTCATGGATTTTTTTAACAATTAATTTGGCATCTTCCACAAAATAGTTGTTCACTAATCAATAACAGGCATGAATCACATAAATCTAACATGGCACAAGTTGAAGCCAATAGGGAAAATTTATAGCCAAGCTAATGTAAAGATGAAAAGTATTCCCTGTAAGGGACTATTGATCATTATCTTATATATTATTCAGTACTACAAACACCGTAGTCTTACTGTTTTGATAATCCTGTTTTAAGGCCTGGGCATCTTAAACTATTCTCTACATATGCACAAATAAAAAATACTGGGGGGAAATATTTAGTAATTGTGGATTCTTTTAAGTAATATAAAGTGGCAGCATGCTGTTTATCTGGTGTATGTAGTATCTCAGATACAATCGATCCATGGAAACAATTTAAACATTCCTATTATATCTGGACATGTAGTACTTCCAGATTTCTTACTAAGGCTTTTTCTATAAAGCTTTTACCAAAATATCATGTTACTTGGTACATGTTACCAAGCAATTTTAACTGAGGTTAAATCTTACATTAAGTGTGTATTATACAATACTATAGCTAAGTTAGTGAGTCTGGCATCTTTCACAACAGTCTAAATGTAGTCTTTAATTGCTGTTCTCATTTCAAATATTTGGGTGCACACTACTTAGTGCATAAAAAGAACAAAAAAGCCCTGTCACATCCTTTTGTAAGTGCAGAAGATGAATTTAAGGTACTTGGCAAAAACATCCACATATTTGAGGTCAGAATAGAGACTTCTTCATTTGAAATATTCAAAAGCCTATTCACAGCAAGTTTTATGTGCCATATTAAGTCCTTCAAGAGATTATCTGGGGTTAAGCATACAGTCTTACAGAACCCTTGTCAGTTTAAGGATTTCATGATTTGCCCCTACAGTTCTGTGAATATTTTCACTGTATAGTTTCTATAATATACGGATAGTACTTAGGACCTGAACCAGATATTAAAATAGATAATCCTCCTCAAAATGAGGCTGGATCAAATGGAAATCAGGACATCTCCAAACTTTAAAAGCTAGAGGCCTATTTATAGCTAAAAATGGGGAAGGGAAGCTGTGAGGAAATAACTGTCTCAGTACATGGGGTACTGAATTTCTTTTCACCAGACACTGAGCATTTTCTTTAATGAAACCACTTCAGTGTAAAGATCCATTCCTTCACAAGAAGTTTAGGAAGAAAGTTTTGAGGAAGTTATTTATTCCTGACACATCAGCCCTTCATGCACCTTCTTCTACATGATCGAACTTTAACCATGCTGAATGGCAGCAGAACACCAGCCTGACAGAAAGGCTGGTCATGCTCTCCTGTCAGGCTCACAGGTGAGAGGGGGTGGATCATTCACAAACGCGAAATTTTAACTTTCATCTAGCTTAGCTCTGGTGAAGAACAGGCCTACAGAAAAATTTCCCTTGGCTTTTAAGCAATGAACACCTCTGCAACTACATGGCCTTTTTGTTGTTGCTGCTTTGCCCTTTGCACATTTTTGTCTTTGGCTACATATAAGCTTTCTTTGTATTGATGGGTTGAAGCAATTTAGTTTCCCCTTAGCACTCTAACACGCCGAAGACAACAACGAACGCGGTAAACTCTGCCAGCCAGTTCTTTGTAGGGCTTCCAAGGGAAGCGAAGCGCAGGGGATAGTAAGGGACCGTCCGGACCCTGCTCTCTTCGGGCTGCTGCGCGTCCAGCGGTCGCCCACCCGGGAAGGGCGAGGGAAGCGGAGCCCTTCGTGGCTAAGAAGCCGCCAGGAGGACAGCCTGGTGACAGGGTGAGGGAAGGAACTTCCCCGGAGCCCCTCCGCTTCCGGCGCCCCCCTCCCTTGCTCCCAGCCGCCGGCTGAGGCTGCGGCGCGGGGCTGAGCGCTCCGTCGGGATGCGTCCCCCCTGTCGCAGCTGTCACCGCTCCGCCCGCTCCCCCACATGATGCCAATTAAAAGACGGGAGGGCAGACACAGCCCCCCCAGGCAGCAGGCCCCTGCTTCAGTTTCAGGCTCTTATAGCGCCCTTGCCCTCTCCCCCTCATCCCCTCCCCTTGCAACACTCAATAGCGGGGGAGACTGTCGAGGCCGCTCGGCACCCTTCCCTCCCCCTAAAACCTGGCCCACGATTCCCAGTCCCGGGGGCCAGAGCCCTCCCCGCATGCATCGCCTTCCTCCCGCCCCGTGCCGTCTCTGGGGAGAGCCAGCAGCAGAAGAGGCGGGCAGCCGCAGGGACCCCCCGTCCGTAGCCACCCCCGCGCCCTCCCGGCGCTGAACCTGCCCCGCCAGCCCAGCGCCGGAGCAGGCAGGGCGGGCCGGGAAGGCGGGAGGGCGGGCGGGCGGCTGAGCGGCTCCCGCAGATGATGAACGCAGCGGTTCCTTGTAGCAGCAGGTCCCGGGGAGCGGAGGTCACCTGCTGACAAGCTTTTTTTTTTTTTCCTTTTCCTGCATGCTCCTATTTTTTTAATGCTGTGCATGCAGTACTTGTGCTGACGCACAGAGGCACGCCTCTCCGCTGTTACAGAGTTCCTGAATTTACAATGACTCTAGTGTCTAGTCAATGCCCTAGACTAAAGGAGACTGCATAAAAAAAAATTCTTTTGTGACCCAGGAGAGATAAGGCTTTGATCACCTGAGATCGCATTACGGGGGGAACCGAGCCGGGCTCTCCTGGGGAGCTTTTCTTTTAGAGATGGGCATCTTGCTGCAGGAGTTGCGAAATGCCAGGGCTCCCAGAACCGGGCGAGTATAGACACACAATATGGCTCGGTTTACTGTATGCAATAGGCACACATCCAACATAGCATCACAAAAGAATTACTCTTATCTGATGTCTCTCCAGAGGTGTGTGCGTGTATGTATGTGTGCGGGGAGGGGGATTCCCACAGGGCAGAGCCCAGAGAGGAGTTTACGCGCAGCCCCTAATGTTTTCTCTTTGTCCTCCTTATTCCTGAAGGAAAACTTCCTTCTGAAGCGTACCCCCACATTGACACGCACACGCGCGCAGGTTTCCCTGCACGCGCTCGGAGGAGACCCTGTAAACCCGCTCTCCCCCGGGCAGCTCCTGAGATGGGATGCAGACCTCCCCAGGATCATCACAAGACTTTACAATCACCAAAACCCAAATAGCATCTGCTATTCGGTGACCTCCCCGCAAACACAACAGCAATCTCACGGCACCGATACAAAAGCACCGAGATCCTCTTCCTTCCCCCCAGAGAAGCCAGGAGCCCCAACACATCCCATGGTTTCGCCGTGCCCGCTCTACCCGACCCTGGAACTAGCAGGGGCATCACCGACGCACTCTATGGGAGAAGAGCTGTCGCTGGGGAGCGTCCTGCGGGGGGAGAGGGAGATCAAACCGACAAGGACAAAAAAACCAATCTATTTAAAGCCAAGGCGCTGCGAGGGGTGAAAGAGCTGCCCCTCGGAATTGTCAGCTTCCTAAACTGCGGCTGGATAGCCATTTTTAAAAATAGACGCCGCGAGTAATGTGGTCACCGCCGCCTTGCAAAGGGGAACAGCTGGCGGCCCTCCTCTGGGGGCGGCGGGGCCCCGCGGGCCGCCAGCCCCACACCGCCCCGGCTGCCGGTGCGCAGCGCCCTACACCTGCTGCGGCCCCGCACCGCGCCTCCCTCGCCGGCTCCACACAGCGCCGCGCCCGCCGCTCTCTGCCCGCACCGCAGCGGGCTAGGGGAACCTGCGGCGGTAGCTCGGCAGCCACGCACGGCGTCTGCCTGTGCCAAGGAAAACGCCTAGCTGCAAAAGCCCCCCCCCCCATTCCCCTCACTCCGCGGCTGCCTGAAACACTTTCAGCAGTTTTTCTCGCCAGCAAGCGTGGATGTTGCGCCCCGGGGATAGCCGCGACGCTCCCCCTCACCCTGCACCCACCCTGGTGGACCCCGTGCGGGTGGGCGGCGTGGGAGGGAGGCAGAGCCTGCAAGCAGCATGAGAGTATCAGGAAGCAGCGGATGCCGGGGGATGGAGGATGAACCTGCGACCATGCGAGAGTCTCAGTCCTCTCCTCCCCCGCCCCCCCCCTCCGCTTCCCTTCTGAGCCCTTTGGAGATCATCTCCTACAACACCAGCATTATCTAAACAGCTTCACAAAGCAATAAAATACAGCTTAGATATCGTTCAACATCTGGCATTAAAATACAAAGAGAGAAAAAAATCACCACAGGACTTTGTTTTTACGACTGAATTTGAGTGCTGTCAGGTTAATTCACTCACAAGTTAACTCCTTCCAACAGCTGGGAGCGTGGTGAGCTAACCTGGCGTATTTTCCTCACCCCTCCTTAAGAAAAAAAACAAAGAATCAGCTCATCCAGGCTGTTTTAGTTACTTTCATGCATTCAATCTGCCAAGCCTTTAACAGACTCCCTGACAGCAGAGAAGCTCCGGGCCCACTGGACTCGCGTGTGCATGTGTGGATGTGTGCGTGTGTGCATGCACAGGCTCTCCGGAGCGGCCGGGGCCATCAGCCCTTCAGCCCTCGCTGCTGAGTCACAAATAGCGTCCCTGGAAAGGAAATCCATGGAATGCTATTTCAAATTCGCTGCCAGCCTGACACGCCACACAGCTCGGGAAAGGCAGATTTTGGCGCAGGATTCCCGGCGGGTTCCGGACCCCACCTGCGCTCCCTCCTTCCCGGGCCGCCGGCCGCCGGCAACGCCGCACAGCTGCTGCGGGTGCGGGCTCGGGCGGGCGGCGAGCACCGCTGCGGGTCGGCGGGCGCTGCCGGTGAATCCTCGCCGAGCAGCGAGCCAGACTGGGTGTGCACTTCGGGCAGTTACTAGAGCAGGTAATCGGCAGAGAAAACGAAAGAAAAGCCCTCGTCAATTTGCGTATAGGACGAGAGCCACTCCCTCCAGGAAACTCGGTGAATTTTAAATTGTCGTGGTTAATGATTAAAACCCCTTTAAACTCTCGAAATCAAATCATTCAGCAGAAACGTCCCGAGCAAAAATTCCACCACCGCCACCACCACCTCCCAGTACGCGTCTGCTCTTAAGCAGAACTTGAGGCTACACAAACATCGCTACTAAACACCCGGCGACTTCGGCGAGGGCTCCTGCTCCGCCGCGGTGGTGCCGCTCGTGTACATCTGCAACCCGGGGCACAACTCATTTTTCCCCTCGGCGGATCAGTCATCAGCACAAACCCCCCTTCCCGCCCGCCTCGAACCCCCCCACCGTCCCCCCGCCCGCAGTTCTACCCCATTATTTCATCACATGACCACTAAAGGGTTAAGGATAATACCTACCAAATCTGCTGTGGTCTTGCCTGGTTCCCTGGATAGTACCATTGGGGAAGATTTCTAAATGAAATCCAGTCCTGCAGTATAGCTGTCTCCGCCTGAGGATCCCCTTTAAATGGTCCAAGTCCGTGACCGCAGGCCCCCTGGGTAGCCCACCTGCCTCAGACTGACCCAGGTGGTCACTTAACAAAACCGGACTATCCACCGGCAAAACGGGCACATTCCCAAAGGGTACTGCATCCTGCACACCGAAATAGTTCCCAACTTCACCTAAGGGAGCCATCAGAAGATTCTGCTTTTAGAGAATGAGAATAAACAATAATGATGGTGCCAAACCCAGGAGATATAAGATTAGGTATATTCCACTCCTCTCCCCTCCCTAGCGCAGTTACAGAGAAAATGTTCTTTCTTCAATCCATTAAATGCATAAATAAAAGTAATATTCTCTTTTGACTGGTACAGGTTCAAGGTCAAACCAGTTAGTCTAAGAAACCACCACTTTATACTCACACACTGACATATTTATAAACATATAGATGTGTATATCTATATAAATGCATATATCCCCAGCTCTTAGCAAGCAATACGGTCTTCAGCCCATCCAACTGTAATAAAGAAAAAAATCCGTAGTTTCTCCATTTGGTTTAAGATAAGAATGATCATAGCAACTTAAATACCTAGGCGTTATAGGGATTTTTTTTTTTAAGATGCACAGGCTACGTCAGGATTTATGGATTCTGATTCCAGAAAGGCATGCGCTGTTTTTACTCTATAACAGACTGCATACATCAGCATGAATCCTGCAAAGGGGGAGGGGGGAAATCTCACGTTGTTGGCTGAGATAAATCCAAAAAAAAAAAAAAAGGAAAAAAGAAAAAAGGAAAAAAAACTTTTGACGTCCAAATCTATTATCCAGAATTCTCAGGAGGCTCAGCAGATGTCCACGGGTTTAGGATTATTGACGATCCACAAGCAAAGCAGCAACATACAAGTGCTTGTGTCTTTCTTGGCTGGCTCGAAACAGGTGTTGCTTCTGCAGGGCTCCCTGTGAAATGTTGTACTCCAGCACTGAGCTGCAGCTCTTGACTGTGGATCTCCATCCAGCACGCAGAGTGGCGCAGGAAGAGGCATTGGGCTGGGTTTAAGGTAGTCCTGATTGCTGCTGGAAGGATTCTCCGAGGTCCTAGCGCTCAGCTCTACCTGCTGCAATACCGAGCCGCTTCCAGCGCTCGGCACGGCGCGGAGCGGCTCTTGCCGCTCTGCGGCAGAGCGGCGCTCTCCGGCAAATAAATAAATAAGTGGGCGAAACTTTGGGGGAGGAATAAAGCGACGCGATGCTAAATATACCGCGCCCGCCCGCTGCGGGGAGCGGGCTCCTCGGGAGATGCCCGCATAGCCCGAGTCCCCCATGACATTGGCGGGGGGAGCGGGGCGGGCAGCGCCCTGCCTGCCCAGCCCGAGGCCGGCCCGGGGCCCGGCCCCGCCGCAGGGGAGGCGGAGGCGAGGCCGCCCCGCACCGCACCGCAGCCCTGGCCCCGGCCCGCTCTGCCGCAGGTAACCGGGCTGCCGCTGTCCCAGGCGGGGTTCAAACTCGGCTCCGGCGGGACGCGTCAAGTTCGGGAGCTGGGGCTGGTCTGGGGGGTCCTTATCGCCCACGCCTCATTTCTTGCCTTCTCCACTCTGGCCCCCAGCCCCGGCAGCCCGCAGCACTCTCGCCCTGCCTCTGCGCTGCCGGAGGAGCAGTTTCGGGGATACCGGTGCGGGTAAGCCCCAGGGCCCTGCCACCGCCCGGAGCGCTCCGGGGGCGAACCGGGTCTCCCCGCGCCCGGGCTCTGCCCCAGTATTTAAGAACCCGGTGGAGGAAGGGAAGAGAGGGCCAGGAGGTGGCATGGGGTGAAGTGGGGGTGCGATGCGAAGTACGTGTTCTCCTTTCACCCCAACATCCACCCCCCTCGAAAAAAAAAAAGTTATTTAAAACTGTCGGGAGAGACCCGGCGAGAGGAGAGAGGATTTCTGTTTTTCTTATGATGTTGAGGATTGGTGTTACTGTGGTTTTGCCCTTAGAAAACAGCTGTGTTAACCAGCAACGGAACAGAGGGTCTCCTGCCTTTGCAGAAGAATTCTTGAGCAGAGCTCAAGGACCTGGCACGATGCAGAGCCTTGCACGAGGGAGAGGACACTCCGGCAGCCCCTTGAATTGACTGCAAAACCTGAACACAGGCTCTTCTGGGAGAGAGAGAGGCAGGGAGAAAAGGAGAAGAAACTTAATATCTTGGGGGCTGAGGGGAGAGATTGCCTGGTGTGAATGATGATGTGCACCGCTGAGGTAGCGGGGTTCAGGAAGGTCATTGGTGGAGCCTGGAAACAGAATTCTAGAGGAGAATTTTGCTAGGGTCCTAATTAAAAATAATCGACTCTACACGCCCTCCTCCTCGATGGGCATGCGATGGAGGGGGCAGCTCTCCTTGCCTTCCCCACCACAAAAGCTAGCAATCCAGCTCTGACTGGTGCAGCCTTTCTGCATCCCCCCACTTGCCAGTATGACAAAACACAAGAGGAAGGAGAGAGACTAATTTCCATATCTAGCAGGGAAACTGCATCAGGGAAAAGCTATGTCCTGAATCCCCACGGACCTTTAGGGAACTGACACCCACCAATGGCGCATGAGCCACCCCCTTGTATTTGACAGTCTTTATTGCAATTTGAAGGACGGGATGTAGAAGCTTCAGAGCAGGGTCACATCACTCTAGTTCTGTACAAACCCACAAAAAGAAACAGTTGCTGCATGTCAGTCCATGCATTTTGACGTGCAAGAGCAGAAAAACCCCTAACAACAAAACATGGAAGTCATTGCTCTCTGGCAAATAGTTCCAAAGCATCTACCCTGTATATCAGGTTTAAGGACAGTGCTCTCACACACACACTGCTTTTATCAGCGTGAACAACTGCAGAATGACTTGGGAAAAACTGCAGAACTCACCATGTCAAAAATCATTATTCTTTATCAACTCGATCATGGCAGTACCCAGAGGCCCCATTCAGGGCTCACAGTCCCATTGTGTCGGATACTGTAGACACATGTAATAAGAGAGATGGTCTATGCCCAAAGAGCTTATGATCTTAACCCATGATGAAAGACAACAGGTGTATAGTACAGACCCATGGGGGAAGGATAAGGGAAAAACAGCCTTGAGAATAAAAAGCAACAGGCCTGGCCAGTGACAAGTGTTTGGTGTCAGAAGAAGGTTTTAAGGAGATTTGAAGGAGAACAATAAAGGAGCTTTACGGTTATTAATGGGGAGATTTTTTCATGCATAATGGCTAACTTGGAAGAGAACATAAAATTGCTTATTAGGAAATTGGACTGCTGAAAAGTGAAGGTTTGTGCCACTGGCAAAGCAAAGGGAATGTTGCCAAGAGACCAAAAAGCCTGGTATCTGGTGTGCTCTCAGTCTAGAAGCAACAGGGAAAGAGGCTCCCAGCAACTTTCCAGTGCTTTAAAATTTACATTTCTAGTCCCAGTGAAGAGTATTGTGTGTATTTTTTTTTCTCTAGTTCAGGCTTCAGTATTTTGTAGCTTGTACTTCGCAGAAGCATATCTTGTGAAAAATATCTGACAGCAAAGAAGAAAGTATTGGTATAGTTGCCTTTTTTTTACAGAACTTAAATGAAAGCCCACAGGTTATTTGCAATAGGAAGTTTAGTGTTATAAAAGTGTTATCTAAGTTGAGGCTTTGATGTCTGAATTACTCATAAGTATCAAAGCCACACATGAATTATGCAGGACATCCCCAAAATTATACCCATCTGTGAGTAGGTGGTGTTCCAACCCTGCTTCACATAAAATGTATGTGTGATGTGTAATGTCAAACTTACTCCTTACAGAAGTTTGGCATTGCTGATAGCTGGGGCTGTATTAAAAACCTACACTTTTATCCCCGAGACACTGAGGCAGGAACATCCCTAGCTCCCCTCTACTCGAGATTCACACCCACTTCCCTTATACCCTCCTGGAATTAAAGACTGCATCTGCTACAGTGAGTCATCAAGAGCTTACTCATCAGCTTTATGCGGGATTTTAACTCCTGAGAGCAGAGTTGGTCAGAAGGATCCTGCATGCCTTGAGGAGTTCCTGGCACATGGTGTCCTCACATGTACCACACTAATGTGACACTTCTGCCAAGTTTTAGCTATTATGACTTTTTTGAAATAAAACTGTTTCACCTGTAGTCTGCCAACCAGTTCAGTTTTAGACGATCTTTTTACATATCAATTTTGGAGTGTCATTTAAAAAATAAATTAGCTTGCCTGGTTTTTCTTGGTTTATGTTTTCTTTTTTCATTCTTCCAAATTGCATAATTTCACCGAGAGTACAGAATCTTATTCTGGACCTTCAATGTATCTCACTAATTTATTTCCCAACCTTGCAGACAGACAACCGAAAAAATTACATTATTAAAAAGAGAGGTATTACAACTTTCCCATGAAATGCATGGCATTTGCCATTTTTACTAAAATGTCTTGAGGCAGAAAACTTTTAAAAGCTTTCTACAAATGGAGAAAAATATAAAAATATAAAAAGTAATGCTATTTTCAGTTTTCTTGACAAATAAGGATTTTTAGGGTATTTTGAAGCATGATATAAACCTGGATATAAGACTAATAAGTACTCTCATTTCACTTGAGGCTGCTAGAATGGAGACATCAAGATATAAACGACTTGTTCTTTAACATAGATAAATAGGAGCAATTTTAGGGCACAAATCATCTGACCTATTTCAGGCGTCTACTTTAGGATGACATGACTCATGCTCTAAAGATGCTTAGTTCTTCCTCGCGTATGAAGGGAGCCTATATTAGATGTAGACTTCTACATGACAGAGGTCTAGATAGGACTGGATGGATCCCACCTGCTGCATTATACATGTGATTGAGAATTTCCCCAGCATGGGTGGTGAGGGCACCAAACTATTAATATAGGTGCACAAATTCACACTCCAAAGAAAACTCAAGTCACCTCAGCAAAGAAAAATTACTGGAAGTCATGATTATGAAACATTGGATTGCCTGGAAATAAATGATGTTTGTGAAAATAAAAAACAAAACAAAACAAACAAATAAACAAAAAACCACAGTGTAAGTCAGGTTAATTGGATTAACATAAGAAATGCCTACAAGTGTAGAAAACTTGAGCTAGAGGAATGTATTTGCTTTCTCACTTTAGCGACTGTAGAAAAAATAGCAGTATTTATGACCAAAAAGATTCCTATAAGAATTCCAGAAGACAACAGAAAAGGGCTTGTTCCCAGTTCATCAAATTTTCACACTAGAGGAGTGTAAAATATGCAGTTTAGATGGAAAACTCCAAGAAAACATCAGTGTCAATGTCACAGTGACCATGGGATATCTGACATGGATTTTTTGTGGTGTTATGGTATTTTGCTTTGTACAGGAATTAGTGAATTCACATAAATAAGCACTGGCAGAATATGACCATCCTAGGGAGGGAGTTATCATGGTCCATGTTTTAAGACACCTTAATTTAAGCACAAAAGTAAAAATATCACTATCAGTCAGATACAGTTGAATGCATTGACATAGATGTCAATATAGTGTTTTGGAATGTGTGTCCTTGTTGGTGCTACTTGAAGGTATATAGGGTGATGTAAGCATGAAAGCTGCCAAATATGTTTGAAATTTCTGTGATGTGTTTATTTGTACATGGCTTGTATCTGCTGTTTTTAGTAATAAATTGATTTTCCATGATGTTGCAAGTCCTGCCAGGTCAAGAGCCAAAGTGTCACTGATTGGAAGGAGAAAAGGGGAGGCAATCAGAGTTGCCATGTGTGCAAGTGACTGCAGAGGCCTCCACATGGCAATCAATTTCTGCAGCATGGCTCACAGAACTGCTCACTGTGAGAACATGTTT